GTGCTTGTATTGTGCAGGAGTGGTTTCAAGAACATGAGGGAGACTTTACCTTGCTTAGGTGGCCCCACAATCACCAGATCTCAATCCAATTGAGCATTTGTGGGATGAAGTTAAAAGAGCCATCAGGCAGCTGGTTCCACAACCATCAAATCTCACAGAACTGGACAGTGCTATTCATCAGGCATGGTGTCAGATTCCTCGCATCACCTTTCAACATCTCGTGGAGTCAATGCCAAGAAGAATCGCCACAGTATTGAAGGCAAAAGGTGGCCCAACGAAGTAGTGATGGGGTGGTCATAATAATCTGGCCACTCAGTGTTTATGAGCACTCTTCTTTTTCACCTGCAGAACTTACATCTTTTATTTTATTTTAAGTTCTATGCTGCAGAAAAATGGAAATATTTCCTGTTTCCATGACATGGTCTCTATTTCCCTCACCTTTAAACTTTTCTTTCATGTGGTTTCCAGGATGTGGAAGCTCTCTCTTCCTTTCAAGTACACCTGTTGTGAGATCTATTCATCACCCAAAGGCAAACTTGGGCACCATTACCTCCATGAGTCTTTTCTGATGAAGCCTTCCTAAACTTTGCATTTTTGTGATGATACTTGGAATTTCAGTCTCTGTACCAATATTTCTATCCCAGATCCTTGAATAGTGTAGAAATTCTACTATATTTATGGGCTTGAACTAAGCACCACTTATGTACCAAGTCCACTGCTAGATGCAAGAGTTATCTTCTGAGGATGGTACAAGAGAAAGCATGAGGAATTTGTATGCACATTTGAGGTAAATAAAGTTGGTGATGATAAAGATGATGATGATGGTGGTGATGGTGGTAATGATGGTGATGATGGTGAATGTGCAGAATATCCACATTTCTTCTCCAAATCTACTCTCCACCTTTCTCATCCTGCTCTTTCCCCTGGGAGGCTGACCCCATGACTGTGTCAGCCAGGCTCCTTTGCCTTTTGCTTCATGTTCTTTTCAACCAATAGGAAATATATTGTTGAGAGACCAGAGAGTGAGAGGAGAGACAGTTTGGGCATTTATCCCCCTAGCTCTCTTTACTGGGCCTCTCTTTTCCGTGGTTGCATTCAGAATGTCACAATCCCTTTCAGCGGATCCCTCCTGTATAGTTAGATTCCCATAGCCAGTCCTTACCTTGCCCCTTCAGGACTAGGATGGTAATGTCACCCCACCCTTCATTGTTGCCAGTCCCAGAGTATGTTACTAATAAAATCCCGTAACCCTGCCATAACCACCTTTACAAAACTCTCGCAATTTTCCCTTTTCAGTGTGGCATCTGCATTTCTTACTGAGACCAACAATGACCAGTGAAGATGGTGGTGGTGACGGTGGTTGTGGTAGTTATTCTACCAGCTGGTAGTCTGAGAATCCCAATATGCAACTCCATGTAGAGAGGCTGGAGAATTGTGCAGAGACTAGCAAGGTGCTCACTGTGTTAGTTATCTATTATCACTGTGTTACAAGTTATCTAAACTTAGTGACTTAAAACAATAATAATAATTTTTTATTTCTTATAATTTTTTGCAAGTCAGGAATTTCACTGGATACAGCAGGATAGCTCATTTCTTTTGGCAAAAAATATATTTTTATTGATTTCAGAGAGGAAGGGAGAAGGGAGAGAGAGATAGAAACATCAATGATGAGAGAGAATCATTGATCAGCTGCCTCCCACATGCCCCACATTGGGGATTGAGCCTGCAACCAGACATGTGGCATGTGCCCTGACTGGGAATTGAACCATGACTTCCTGGTTCATAGTTTGACGCTCAACCACTGAGCTATGCCGGCCGGGCAGGATAGCTCATTTCTGCTCCATCATGTCTAGAGCCTTCAGTAGAAAGCTGAAGACTTATTCACTTACAGAGCTAACAGTTGATCCTGGCTCTTGGCTGGGGAACTACTTGGGGATGTCAGCAGGAACATACACATGTGGCCTCTCCATGTGGCCTAGGCTTCATCACAATGTTGTGGCTATAGTCCAAAGATGAGCATTTAGAGACACAGAGAGAGTGAGCCACACTGTCTTTTACAATGTAGTCTTAGAAGCCATGCACTGGCACTTCCACTATATTCTGCAGGTGGAGATAGCTATAAAGTTCCATCTAGATTCAAGAGGAGGAAATGTAGGCCCATCTCCCAGTGGAGGAGTTTTGATGTCTATGATTTATTGTCGGCTGTATGATGTGGATAAAATGATGTAAGCCTCTTCTAGACCTACACACAATGCTCCATGTGCTACCCACTCTCTTTTCCCCCCCCCATGCAGTGGCAACAGTGCAGAATACAAGTTGAAGATGATAATGACACTAAAGTCAAGGGGCCTGGATCTCCCAGTCATCACTTGGAGGAGCATGAAGCAATCCATATTGATCTTTGTGAGTGTGATAATTAAGCTTTTCATGTGTTAATTCTCTAAGATCTGGTAATTGCTACAGGAATTTTATCCCTTTCTCCAAACTTTGTCTGAGCCAATGTATTTCTATTTCTGTGTTAATAGCACATCTATCAGGATGACAAATCTGTGATGAAAACAAGACACCAGAATTAATTGATCTTCTTCCTTATAATCTATGCACCTACTCCCACCCTAAGTAGTACTGAGCAGTAAAATGACCATGAAAGAGAAGAATAAAGTCATGGGACTGCTTAGGTCTTGACCAACAGGATCACTGACTATATCCAAGAAGATCCTGGTCACATCAAACAGTGGAAAAGGGAAAATGTTGAGATAACTTTGGTAAATATTCAATCCTTCTTTGGAGGATCTTGAGGAAAATGGAGGTTGTTGTGTTGGAAATGATTGGCAAGTGTCTGCAGGGGCCCTTACCACACCAGAAAAGACATTGTCTGAAGGAGGAAGTGTGCATGATGTTTGTCCCAATAAAAAGCCTGGGAGAAACAACTGTAAAGTGATATTTAGAACTGATGCTTTTATGAGGATCCAGCTTATAAGCCGATAGAGGATTTTCACTGGGCTTGGAAAACCATTTTCCATCCTTTCCCCACCCACATTCTGTAATTAAGCAACACTCCTAGTGCTAAATGTATGTGTAAAATGACATGCTTAAAGGATACATTTTTAAAAGGTTTTATTTGGAAAGAATTTTGACAATAATAATAAGTTCAATAATAACAAAATAATACAGATAATAATTTTAAGAAATAATATTTTTTTCCTAAACTGTTTGAGAGAAAGTTGCACACATCCTGACTCTCTACTCCTAAATTTTTTCTATTTACTCTTAAATATTTCAGTGTATATTTTTAGGAGTAAAGATATTTTTACATAACCATAGTACAATGATCAACCTCAGTGAATTTAACATTGACAATATTTTATCTAATCTACCATCAGCATTCAGATTATATTATTGAGTCAATAATATACATTTAGCATTTTTCCCCCTAAACGTATGTTGTCAGTCTCTATGATCTCCTTTAATCTGGAACATTTATATAATATTTCTTTGTACCTATGATATGACAGTTTTGAATGATACAGTTCCATATTTTTCTTTTTCCTGTTGCCTCATGATTAGATTCAGGCAGTGCATCCCTGGCATGGGTATGTTTAAGATTTTAGGGGACTGACCAAATGTTTTCCAAAGTTGCCATGGCCATTGTCACTCCCAGTAGCAATGTATGAAAGTTCTGTATCTTGATATTGTCAGCATTTTCTTAAAAGAAATCTTAATATGGTCATCTTTTCATATGATTATTTGTCCATATATCTTCTGTAGTGAAGTGTCTGTTCAATTTTTTTGTTGGATTTTTTTCTCTTATTGAATTTGAAAGTTTTCTATGTATTCTGGGTAAGTTCTTTATCTGATATGTGTTTTGTAAATATTGTCCCCCAGTTGGTTGGATTGTCTTTTCATTTGTTAACAGTGACTTTTTAAGAATAAATTTTCATTTTGGTAAAGTTTAATTTATCAACTTTTCTTCATGTGTTGTATTTTTGGTATCATATTTAAGAAATATTTGTCTAATCAGAGGTCACAAAGATTTTCTGCTATGTTTAATTTCACATTTAGGTTTACAGTTCTTTTTAGATTTATTTTTATATATGGCATGAAGTGCATATTGAAGCAGTGTATACTTTCCATGGTAAATTTTAATTTATTTTTCTGCAAAGATGATATTAAGTCAAAGAGACATCTTACAAATGATAGAAGTACAATAATGCTGCCTGGCTTAGTTTTAATGAGAAAGACTTAGAGTCAAGGGAGACTACGTGCTCACCTAATATCGACAGTGTGCCTCAGCTGTTAAAATAGGTTGACAAGATGGCATCCAGGTGAAAGGAGGTACTAATTCTATTATTTTCTATGCTGGACAAGCTATTTTGAATTGAAGTTAACTTTTTGTGTGATTTTTTTGAGAAAGACACTGACAAAAAGAAAGAAGGATGAGAATAATCTTATTAGGTTTGGCCTATGTGGGTGGGGACAGGAAGGTGTGAGGACACTGAGAGGCTGAACATCATTTCTGAGGAGCAATGAAGAGTCTGTTCTTTGGAAAGGCAGCCTATGGTTAAAACTCAAACTTTGACACCAGCCAAACTGTTTTTAAATCTCAATCCATTATCAGTCTATTTTTGTAACCTTAAGTGACTTACTTAACCTCTCTGATTTTTTTTTGTTTCCATTCTCACAAAATATAGGTAAGAAAAACCCCTATCTCATAGTTTTTGTCATGAGCAATTAAAATAAGATAATCCATATTAAATGCTTAGTTCAATGCCTGGAGTTTTCTATGTGCTTAAAAAATGCTAGCTGTTTGGGTTTTTTTTTTTTTGCTATTTATTATTTTTCCACTGAAGTTTAATCATTGAGTTTCTACCATGTATCAGGCATTGGGGGTATCAAAATGAGATAATTCCTTAAGAAGCGTAGCCTCATAGAATTGGAAATTGGACCAATAGCGGTACGCTAGTAGAGACTGAATTTAGCTGTTTGCATAGGAGCTATCTTATGTGCTTGTATGTGCATGTGTGTTTGTGTGCTGTGTGAGATATGACTGAGGATGTGTACATTTATCATGGTGGAATTTTTGTTTTCCTGCATAGAGATATTAAGCCAAGGATGCGTATCTGAGATGATGGAATCTTCAATTGAAAGAAGTATGATAAATGAAAGGTTAATGAGCCATCTGAGTCAGCCTGGGGACAAAAGGTCAACCATAGTTTTCCAGGGGGCTGGCCCTTTAACTAAGATCTGAAGGAATCAGCCAACCTGGAGTGGGGTGGGACAGGGCATAGAAGGTGGTCCACACTGAGCAGCCAGCCAGTTTTCTAGAGCACAGTGGCGAAGAGCATGAGTTATGGAGCTAAATCAGCCGTGGGCAAACTACGGCCTGAGGGCCGGATCCGGCCCGTTTGAAATGAATAAAACTAAAAAAAAAAAAGACCGTACCCTTTTATGTAATGATGTTTACTTTGAATTTATATTAGTTCACACAAACACTCCATCCATGCTTTTGTTCCGGCCCTCCGGTCCAGTTTAAGAACCCATTGTGGCCCTCGAGTCAAAAAGTTTGCCCACCCCTGAAAATAGACCTGATTTTGAAAATTCTGGGCAAGTGACTTAACTTCTTTGAACCCCATTCTCTTCACTTATGAGACAGTAATTTGTATCCTCCACATACATGTAAGGCTGACAGGACAATTGTGTAGCTCCTAGTGAAAACCCAATAGGCTTAACTGGTTTTCTAATTATCCTCATAACTCAAGTGATCTAAATAGTCTGGAGCAGAGGATGAAGCAGGGAATGGTGGAGTAGCCTTGAGAGGCAGCAGGGACAGAAGATAAATGGGCTGGATTGTATGTTAAGGAAGGTAGATGCTATCTCTGAGACAATGATTAGCCAGGGAGGAGTCTTAAGCAAATAGTACAAATTTTTAAAAAAGCACTTGGGCACCAGATAGGACAACAAATTACAGGAGGTCTGACTGGAGGCAGGGAGAAGAGTTAGGAGACTTGCTGAAATCCAGGCAAGAAATGAAGCCTGCAGCAACCAAAACCATGCAAGGGGGTGAAGAGTAGAGGGCTGAGTGGGCAGCATTCAAGAGGCAGCACCAGAGGCTTGGTTGGCTGTCAGAGGTGAAGTGAGAGCTGGAGGTGCGCATGACTTCCAGGCATCTGACTTGGGTGAGACAGGAGAAGATGGGATGGAACAGATTTGTAGGGAAAGAAGATGTGTTCACATTCATCTTGAGGTAGCCATGGTCCATCAAATGGAGAAGCCCTGTGCGCAGTAATATTTAGGTCTAGACTGGTTCTCAACCTTCCTAATGCCGCGACCTTTTAATACAGTTCCTCATGTTGTGGTGACCCCCAACCATAAAATTATTTTTGTTGCTACTTCATAACTGTAATTTTGCTACTGTTATGAATCGTAATATAAATATCTGATATGCAGGATGGTCTTAGGCGACCCCTGTGAAAGGGTCGTTCGACCCCCAAAGGGGTCACAACCCACAGGTTGAGAACCGCTGGTTTAAGCATTCTGAGCCTCAGTTTCCTTATCTGTTTAGAGCAAAACTGTTAACTCACATAATATAACACATCCATATAATATTGTTCTCATTTTACAGCTGAACAAACTGAGTCCCAGAGAGGTTGAAAGATTTGCTCAAAGTCACACTATTGGTAAGAATGGAGTCTGATCTCAGATTGACATGGGTTTAAACTCTAAATCCAATAGGTGAAGGTAGAAGGGAGGAGAAAAGGGCTCAAATTAGAAAGAACATTTTAGCAATTAGAAACACCTGGTGATGGACAAAGCCCTATCACAAAGAAGGCCCTGTCATGGAGATGTTGGCGCACAGCCTGGTTGAATAGCCTCTAAGATGAACAATCAATTTGTAACAGGTAAATATACATTTATGTGCTTGTATCCATCACCAGAAGATGAGTTTCTTAAAGTTTTGTTAATTTTTGGATTTTTTGACTTACTGCAGTACCTGGGATATAATGGGAGATCAATAGATGTGCTGGCTGGCTGGCTGGCTGGCTGCTGGCTTCAGAGGGGATCCTTGTACTAAGAAGTTAGACATTATATCTGTATTCTAAGACCCTTCCTCGATCTAAGGCTCTGAATTCTCTGAGACATAAGTAAGAAATTTCCAATAGGGGTCAGTTCTGAGTAGCTGAGGTTGGAAATGAAAGATGACCAGGTACCAGCAAGACAAAAAGGAGCACGTATTTGACCTCCATTACCCAATTCACAAATATATGGTAACAGAAGGAAACTAGACTTTTGGTGGTGGATACACAAAAAGTATAGATATATCCAATTATAATGTTGTACACCTGGAACTTATATGTCATTAACCAAGCTTACATAAAAACTAACAACAAATAAAACAAACAAAC